CACAAAACAGAAGAGGTTTCTACTGCAATGCAAGTCGAGGAAGAAACTCTTGATGGTATCATCTCTGCAGTCTCGAAACTAAGCACTTCAGATTCCCCTTCATCTATCAGCTTTGGCCATCGACACACTCATGGTTTTGCTTTTACTCCTCGAGCTGTTCAGCGAGAAAGAAGATCGGAGTTCTCAGCTTCTCAAACAAGGAGATAACCAAATGTTTTCACTGCAATTTCGACTCGCCTCTTTCTAGAGATCTGAGACGAACCAATTGTTAGAATAGCATGGATTTTTATCCCCCCCTCCACATCGTTATATCCTTAATCCGTATAAAATTTCTCTTGCCACCGTTGTCTATAGAACAAATTCTCTTTTGGGCAGTTACAATTGTGTTATCTCGTCAATATGGTATGGAAGTTTACTGACCTGTGATTGTCCTTTTTGTGACTCCGCGGTTGAGAAATTATTGAATATAGATTGTGAGTCTCGGAAAAAAAAAATTATGTCTGCCAAACGTATTCCCAATATTATTATGTCGCTCTCGGTTAAAATCATTATGGTTACGTGAATTCTTTTTTGTAACTTTTTCGATTTATAGTTAGGTCATACAAATCATCTAAATTTCTTAGTTACCATAACAATACCAGGCATGTTTCATTTTCAAATCTCTTTTCATCAATGCAGAAAAGCGTTCTAATTACTTAGAGAGTATTTGACACTCATTTTTGTGGAAAAATGAATTTTAGAATAGTAGATTGATGGAGAATGTGTAGATGAAGAGTTTTGGATTTACGTGTAATATTATTTTAATGAAGAATGTATGATTGAAAAGAAAAAAGAGAAAATACATTTTGAGAAAAATGGGAATCAAACGGGGCCTTAAGATCAAATCTATTTTCATTTAATTGTGCTATAAAGATTAAAGATCTATTTTCATGTTCATGAGGGGAAAAAAATCTGTTGCAGAATGTTTTTCTAGAATAACCAATATCAATTTTTTTGTGCTTGTTTGGTACAGATTTTAAATCAATTAAAATCTATTTTTTTGATCGTTATTTCATTATTCCAACCGTCATTTTTGAATTCTTCTCTCACGGATAAGACTTACTTTATCTCTAACGGTTAAAAAATCAATTATCAAAATTCGTACCAAACAAGCACTTTTATATTCTAGGTGCAAATGTTTTATTTTTAAGAGATCTAATTGATTGCTAAATACAAGGTCTAACATAGTACCGAATAAGACTTGATAATTGCATACATTAAAAAAAGTGCAAATAATGAGGTTCATGTTGAAGAACAGACGCTTGCATACATAAAACGTTTGGATTGTCGACGTTCGAAAAAATTGACTTAACTTTTGCATACGGTGTCCATTTTGGGTTCATAACTCCATTTCGGAAAGCTCATGACGATTCTGAATGAACTCACCGCTTTGCTATAATGTATGATGGATTTTGGCAGTTTGAATTCGTTTATTAAGTTAAAACAGCATTTAAAGTTTCTTGGTTTGTTATTTTCAGTATTTCTTATTTTCATTTTGTAGCCCAACCTATTAAGAGACTGCTAGCCCAGTAGATTATTTGTTCTTTTTGTATTTAATGATTGGAAAACACCTCCTAGGTTTTCTTTGATTGTTCGTGAAATAAGAAAAGTGTTGGTTTCATGAGTTCAATCCATTTGTGTTATTGTTATTGTGTGGTTGTAAATTCGATCTACATCAGAAAATATTACAATGCACTACACTTTTAATAAAAATTCATTTTTAACATTTTCACTTTTTTTTCACCAAATATACTCAATATATGTGGTATAAATGAAAATTGTAAAACATATTCAATTCCATATTTAATAATAGTAAAAGCTAAAATTATTCGAACAGACACGCCCCATAACTCACCCCCAATTGATACCCCCCCAGCAGTGCAACACTATGAATCCATGTAATTTATATGCATTTTATATTTTATTTCAAAAGATGGAATACATCGTCTTACAATTGTTCTTGTAAACAATATTGCATTAATTTTGAGTTAATTTGTAGCAATTCAATATATTAGCAAAATTTTGATGTTATACATTATAAGATAAATTGATGAAATCGATTGAAGTCAAATTTTTTCTTTTATGTACTCCTGTAGGCCCCATGATCCCATCGATGTTTGGCTATCATCTTTCTTGTATCATATGAAATTTTTTATAAAATAAATATTTTTACTAAATATAACTATTCAAAAAATAATTAATTTACCATACACAATTTCAATTCCAGACCTTGATTATCTCTTTCCCATCTCTCTCTCTCTAAACCACTTACCTCTATATTCTCTCCTCTGACCCTCTTTCTATCCTCTTGCAGGTGATGAAAGGTAGTACACGATGCGGGATCTTTGGAAAGGATTGGAACACTGTTGTTTTATGGTGCAGTGATTATGTGCGGTGCAGCTGAAGATGTCGCTAAACCTAAACAACGACGCGGTACAAATTGACTATGGATTAGGTGACGCCGCTGTGATCGATATTACACATAGCAAGGTGTCTGCCACTGCTCGTGTAGCACTGCAAATTGGGGGTCCTTTCATGTGTGAGATTTCGATGCTATTTTCGATGTGTGTAACATTTTGACGGGAACAGGTGGTGAAGTGGTAGTGATGGTGAGTAGTTTTTCAACATGATCGAGGACAAAGCAGAGAGTTGGTTGCGGAAAAGTGTGTTTTCAGAGATCGACAGATTGAGAACAACCTGCAGATCTGGTATTCGATTTTTTTGATCTCATCTCACCAAAGCTATGACATGGAGATGGTTTTGGGTTATCTGGTGGTTGTAGATTGAGGTATAGTTGGTGATAATGGTAATGCAATGCAGGTGAAGGTGGTGTTTGTGGAATAAGCAACGGTGATGGTGGTGCATTGTCGGTGGTGAAGGTGATGGTACACTATAGGTTGTGGCGTTGGCAGTGATTGTGTAATGGTAAAGCCGACTATAGCAATGGAGTGGGAGTGGGAAAATGTGATCAATTTATTTCAGTGTTGTGACCAATAAGTTAGTCATATTTGACATGCAAAATTTTTGATTTGTGATCAATAAATAATGTGAGACATAAAAATTTATTCAGTTGTGACCAATAATTATTGATTTGGCAGTAATTTGTGAACAATTAATTTGATATTTTGTGATCACGAAACAAGTTGTAACTTATAAACTTTATTATTTATGACCAAGGAATAATATGTGACTATTAATTTAATAAATTTTTGATTTATAAAATTTGTGATTTGTGATCTATAAATAAATTGTGACCTATACGATTTTTATTTGTGACTGATGAATTTTTAACATATAAAATTTTTGAATTGTGGTCGACAAAAAATTATAACCAATTAATTCAATAATTTGTGACCAAATTATATGGAATTGTTACCTTAATTTATTTAATTAATAAAATATATTTTTAATCAATTATTTCATAAATAAATTTTAATATTATATTATTTTTGAAATTTTAAACTTTATTTTTTTAATTTTGAAATAAATCATAGTTAAACTCTTTGATATGAAATTTTCACATAATTTATTGAGGAAATTACACCGTTCCAAGGCTTTCAACTTTACTGTGCATAAATCATGGGCCCAACTTTTCTAATCAAATCTTCGGTATTAGGTTAATCAAAAAATATATCAATCCACCTTCGTCTCAATCCATCCTTCATCCTCTCTCTCCCTCCCGTCTTTCGCTCAGTCTCTCTCTCCCCCCCTCCCGCCTCTCTAACCTCTCCATCACACGGCAGTCGCCGTTGCCATCGCCGTCGTCGGAGACCACAGCATCATAATGATGACCTCCTTCGAACATGTGAGCGTCGTTGCACAGTGGCTCGCAATGTCGACGTCGCTCAGATATTGCAAAGAGCGGTGATAATTGTCGTCATTCGAAATAGATTCGACGTACAATCGGACCTCAACATGGTCGCCAATTGGTTGTTAAAGTAAATTTAGGACCTCGACCTTCTACTACGTTCAATAGGTAGTGATTTTGGGTGTGGTAGTGATTTTGAGGTTTTGCTGATTGTATTTTCAGATCTTGGCCGTGGTTTTGTTGGTCATATTGGTAGTAGGATCTGATTGTTAATAGTTTTGGAGACATGTGGTTGTAATGTTGTTTGTGGTTGTGGTTGTGGTCGTGGTCGTGGAAGTGGTGGCTGTGCTTGTGGTAGGACGTCATGGTATATGAGTGTTTGTTCGTGGTTGTGGTGGTGTTTCTGGTTGGTGGTACTGTGGGTGCAGTGATGTTGGTGAGGTTGGGAGGTGGTATATTGTTGGGTGTGTTTGGAGGTGTTTTCTGACTGTCGTGGTGGTCCTGGTTGTTGCGATGGTTTTTAGTAATGGTTTTATTGTTGGTGTTGGGATCGGATATTGGATGTCTGAGACCAACTGCTTGTTCATGTATGTGATTGTGACCGTAAACTGTGACATTAAAATTGACCATTAGTCATTAAAAAGTAATCAGTAACCATCAAATTTGAAATATGTGACATGTGACCTATATGTTTTTGAATTTGTGACCAATGATGTAAGCTATGACCTACAAAATTTTTGACTTGTGAGTAATGAAATAATTTGTGACTTGTAAATTTTTTACTTGTAACCTCAAAATAATCTGTAATCAATTAATTCGATGATATGTGACTAATAAGTAAATCTGTAACCAATAATTATGAATTTGTGATCATTAATCGTGTAATTGTGACTTTATTATATTTAATTAATAAATACTTTCAATTAATTATACAGAAATCTGATTTTTTAATTTTTAAACTTTTTACCTGATTTGTGAATTGATGTAAACAATACAACTCACATATGAATTTTTCCCTAATTTATTTTAAAATGATGAAATAGATTCTTCGTCGGCCCAAAGGTTGAAGCCCACTATCTTGACCCAATGAGTAGAGACTGCTGGACTATAACTAGTCTGATGTGTTCAGGATCGACCACTTGTGTAGTGACAAAAAAATTTCATTTGAAATTTCAATTTCGACTTTCAATTTTCAACCGGAAGAATCCACCATGGCTATGGAGGTGGAGGAAATCCAAACCGGCTTGGGATTTCCGCATTGGAACCCGATTCGTCGCCGGTTCTTTCCTGATGCTCCGTTCTTTGCAGCGGGCAACATTGAAAGAGAACTCCTCGCTAAACAGGTACATGTGTTTATGCCAAATCAAATGTTAAATTCTTATTATTTTAATTGTATGTATTAGTTGGTTTGAGGTTTTAATGACGTATTCTTATCAAGTTTTAATTTAGGCTCTGTTTGAGCCCTTTTTTTGTCAAAAAAAAAAAAAAATTTCTATGGTTATTTTTTGGAGAATGTGGGGTTAAAAAGTATGAAAAATTTTGGGTTTACGGTGAAAACTATTTTATTGAGAGAATGTGTAGTTGAAAATGAGAGAGAAAAAATGAACTTTTAAAGAACGAGGCTCAAACAGGGGCTCAGTAGTTTTTGTTGGGAGATTAGGGTTGTGATCTTCTGAAGAAAGAAATAACACTTTTTCTACTGGCAAGAATTGTAACTTAGATTTATATAGAAGTAGTTTATTTGGATTAGGCACGATGCACTTTACTCATGCCTGTAGTACAATTGTTTATTGTGATATAAGATGTTAAAACTAAAACTAAATTAGGCTAGTCCGCTTCATTTGCCATTTTAGGGGGATTAATAGCTGAAGGCTGTGCTTGGTGTTAATTGTTCTTCAAGTTGAGCAATTTGAGCGTTTGGAAAGATTAAAAAACAGCTACCAAAGGAAAGAAAAGAAATCAATTATATAGAAAGGAAAAAATATATATATAAGAAAAATATTATGGCTGCAAGAGTTGTAAGATCTAATACAGTGCTATCACATTTGTGAGGTCCTGCTGTTCCTCCTAGCTGGTTTTGTGTGATTCACTTGGCAATCCCCTAACCACCAATTATGTCCCTGCAAATAAATTAGTAACCGAGACAGTTCCATCTAACATTACTCCAGCTTAAGCCCCCGTTTGGCCCCTATTAATTTTAATTTCATTACATTTCATTTTTCTCTTTCCTATTTTTAACCATACAATCTTTCATAAAATAATATTACACGTAAATCGAAAAAATTTCCTTTTTTTTCGATCACTCATTTTTCAAAAAAATACTATTCCACCCATTTTCATTTCCCCAAAATGGGGGCCAAACGGAGGCTAAGTGTCACTGAGGTAAAATACAATTTCAAAGAATTTCAAAGAAAAATTTTCCATCATCTGGACCAAGAATTGGAGAAATTTCAGCTAGAGGAGGGATTTGCAAATTGGACTTTGCTTAATAACTGGATTGCTGCAGTAGGAAGAGTTGTGAGATGCTGCAATGCACATAGCACCGTAAGTGGAGTCCTCCAGTTGCTCTGCCAATCAAAGCTCCTAATGTAGAGAGATAAGACTTAGGTTGCAATATTGAAGCCTGAAGGTGTAAAGTTAGTAACTATGTTCATATCAGTCCAAGAGTTTGGAATCTAGTAATTCGTAACCTCTAGATTGCTTGTGGAAGCTTGAGTTATGTATTTTTTTTTCCAAGAAGGAAATTCATGAGGAATTGTATGTGGACAAAACTCTATTCCTTGATGTTTGCTAGGATTATTAAGATTTAAGGTAAAGTTAGAGGAAGCATGCTTAAACAATTAATGTTTCTAAGGTTCTTCTATAAAGGTAGAACATGTAGTATGAACAACTGAAAAGATGTGAAGATGAATTCAATACTTATGTTTGTTTCAATAAGACACGTATAAATTTTCAAGAGTAAAAAACTTAGTGGCATTGGGAAGGTAATAAAATGAAGTGTATCAAGCTGTATTTGGTGAAGCTTTGGACTGAGATAAATGGTCATATTGCCAACTATGTTTATGTCGTTCCAAGAGTTTAGAATCTAATCTTTTTAAGGAATTGTATATGTCGCTCAAAATTCTATTCCTTTATGTTTAATAGGATTATTAGGATTTAGGATAAAGTTGAGGAAGCATGCTTAACCAATTAAATTTTTCCAAGTTTCAGGTATAAAGGTAGAATATGGAGTATGGACAACTGAAAAGATGGGAAGTCAACCCTTAAGTTTATAGAACATCAATAAGACAGACATCAATCTTCAAGAGTAAAAACTTAATACCCATTTGGGAAAAGATAGGATAATAAAATTATGGTGTATCAAGCTGCTATTAATGAAGATTTGGACTCAGATTTGTCATTTTTATTGCCAATTTGACTTTTTCCTTTGTTTTATAATTGTATGCTAAACATGAAGTAGTGCTTTTCTTTCTGTCTCCTGTTCAAGTTTGGATATAAATGATGATCTTAACTCTTCCATTGCACTTTAAATTTTGTTCTTTTGATGTGACTTTCATCATTGGTGTGTTGATATACCATTGTCACTTCATTTTATTACCTTAAGATTTTTACTGGGACTGCTAAATTAGTTACTTTTGAAGATTTATAGCTCTCCTCTTCTTCTTCTTCTTCAAAGATTTATTGTCACTTCATTTTATTAATTTTTTTTACTGGAACTGCTACAGTTAGATACTCTGAAGATTTATGGACTCCCTTCTGTTGTTCATAGATCTACAATGTGTCATATTACAACCATCCCATTTCAAATGTACATATTTTCTCTTTGTACATAAGCAATGTCCATTCTTGTCGTATACAAGTCACACCAGGCAATATCATCAGGAACTTGGAATACTGAAGTTGGTAATAGTACACAGTAACTGTCAACCAGTGAAGTCTTATGGTAAATGCAATATGTATGGCTTGTCCCATTGGTTGACAGATGGCTTTACTTGTGCTAGGTCAGATCAGTAGTGGCAGTACTCTTCTCGAAATACCAAGCCTTTCATTGTCTAGTGATATGAAAGAGTGATGCAGCCTCAGTAGCAAGTGCTTGAAAACCCCTCTTAAGTGAATCAATTGTCTATAAATGACTTAAACCTCTCATTTCTCTTTTGACTGGATTTTGTAGAACAGTGTGAATTCTCTTTTGCGTGAACTATGCTTTATAGACAATGCTCCTTGGCCATGTGTTTTTAGTGAGTCGACTTGAACTCTTGCATTTTCTTTGACATTTTCCAGATTATGAGATCTGTCAGCCTTCTTGTTTTCCGTTACCTCTAGCATAATTAGGAAAACGAAATTCAGTGATCTTAAAACTTTGTGAAACAGGTTGCATTGGATTTGACGGAAGAAGAAAAACAGCATATTCGAAATATGGAAGATAGGGAAAGCAGGTAAATGTTTTGCTACTCTTTGATTTAGTGTAGATGAGTTTAACACTTCAAATGCCCAAATGATATGAAGTTAGAAAGATGCTAGTAACAAGGAACAAAATTGGGTACTTTTCGTCTGGGGAGGAGAAATTTGATACGATGGTTTTAAGCTTCAGCGGTGCCCATTTATTTCTGTAAATGATACTTTTATACTTTGTACAGAACTTTTATCTGTCATCACTCTTCAAGCAAGTTTGCATATTGGTCTTGGGTTTGTTCTGATTGCGTTATATTTTTATAGTTTATTAACAAACTGAGAAAGGCAAGGAATGTCATCTGACACTTGTATGTCTTGGTCAGTCTTGCAGTTTGAATGTCAGTATGTGATAGAAGAAGTTCAAACTATGTGATGCGTCTGAATCATGAGAGATTGGATGTTCAAAATTAACACTGTTTTCTTAGTTTCTTAAACTTGCTACATCAAATACATTTTGTTTGCATTTAAATGTCAAAATTGCCATTTTATTTACAACAACTGATTAATATGTTCGGATTATTTATTTCATGAATTGAATTGTGTTCATATATCTGATATTTTGTCTTTTTCTGCTTACGATCTTGCATTTGCTGGTGATAGGAATGAACTTATTTTTTTATAATTATGTTCGGTAATGCACTATCATCAACTTCCTAAGGCTATTTTTGACAGGGAAGTGTTTTGTTCAATTGTTGGTTGTGGGGCACGTTTGAAATCTTTGGACGACTTTGAAGATCACTACCATGCACGGCATACTGCATCTTGTTCAGTCTGCTCAAGAGTGTACCCTACATCACACCTGCTCAGTATACATGTATCTGAAGCCCACGATTCTTTCTTTCAGGCAAAAGTTGCCCGTGGGTTTGCTATGGTAAATGTTCTTGTTGTTAGTGCTTTTCTCTTCAATCACTGGTTAGGTTCCTTGTCGTTTAGTGTCGGCTGTTAGTTCAGTTGTCTGGCAGTCTTTTACGTACTTCAGTGCTATAGGATAGTCTCTTTTATCTTGACAAATTAGCCCTAGTGTCTCTCCCTGTGATTTTGCATGTATCTTGTTAAGTTGTCATTGTGTCAACTATGACATTTCATGTGTGCATGCATGCATGCATATGGGGCACGTGCTAAAGTTGTTAATTTTGGGGGACTATATGTTCAAATTGATTAGCCCAAATAAAGCTGGATGGTGATACTTTGTGAAATCATAAGATTCTTATATAGTTTGTAGACTGTGTACACGTCATTCTTGGGTGTGTTGGTGAAAATTCTTATTTAGTTTTGTGTTACAGTACGAATGCCTTGTTGAAGGCTGTGGTGTGAAGCTGAAGACCTACAAGAGCCGGCAGCAGCATCTGGTTGACAAGCATAAATTCCCATCTTCATTCGAGTTCTTCAAGAAGGCCCGACCCTCAAAGAAACAGAGGCAAAAATTGCAGCGTAAACAAGCATCACACAAAACAGAAGAGGTTTCTACTGCAATGCAAGTCGAGGAAGAAACACTTGATGGTATCATCTCTGCAGTCTCGAAACTAAGCACTTCAGATTCCCCTTCATCTATCAGCTTTGGCCATCGAAATGCTCATGGTTTTGCTTTTACTCCTCGAGCTGTTCAGCGAGAAAGAAGATCGGAGTTCTCAGCTTCTCAAACAAGGAGATAAACCAAATGTTTTCACTGCAATCTCGACTCGCCTCGCCTCTTTCTAGAGATCTGAGACGAACCAATTGTTAGAATAGCATGGATTTTTATCCCCTCCTCCACATCGTTATATCCTTAATCCGTATAAAATTTCTCTTGCCACCGTTGTCTATAGAGCAAATTCTCTTTTGGGCAGTTACAATTATCTCGTCAGTATAGTATGGAAGTTTACTGACCTGTGATTGTCTTTTTTGTGACTCCACGGTTGAGAAATTATTGAATATAGATTGTGAGTCTCGGAAAAAATTGATTATGGCACTCAAGTCTTCAACTTATGATTTCTTGAAACCATGTTTTCAACTTTTTAAACTTGTGTACCTACGTAATTTGAAACGTCTGTTGGAACGGAAGATGAGAGTAAGAAGTTCGGGATGAGTTGAAGTAAGGGGCTATGATTATGAATATTGATAAATTTTATTATATTCGAATTTCTAAATAAAAAGTGAAGTCTCTTTGTTTTAGAATAAAGAAATGTTTTTAAACAATTTTGACCTTTTCAGTTCGAGTCATATTAATGTTACGTGGTCATTTAACACTTGTTAAATGTTAAGAATCCCTAGTAAAATTTTCCCTTTTTGTAAATTTTGAAGGTAGGATCATCTTTTTCATGGCGTATTTCGTGTGTTTTCCATTTATTCACACATAAATTTTATCACGTCTCCTTTTTAAAAAAAATTATGTCTACCAAACGTATTCTCAATATTATCAGTGGGACATGGTCAACACATCATTTATGATATCAAATTATGTCGCTCTCGGTTAAAATCATACTAGTTACATGAATTCTTTTTTGTAACTTTTTCGATTTATAGTTAGGTCATACAAATCATCTAAATTTCTTAGTTACCATAACAATACCAGGCATGTTTCATTTTCAAATCTCTTTTCATCAATGCAGAAAAGCGTTCTAATTACTTAGAGAGTATTTGACACTCATTTTTGTGGAAAAATGAATTTTAGAATAGTAGATTGATGGAGAATGTGTAGATGAAGAATTTTGGATTTACGTGTAATATTATTTTAATGAAGAATGTATGATTGAAAAGAAAAAAGAGAAAATACATTTTGAGAAAAATGGGAATCAAACGGGGCCTTAAGATCAAATCTATTTTCATTTAATTGTGCTATAAAGATTAAAGATCTATTTTCATGTTCATGAGGGGAAAAAAATCTGTTGCAGAATGTTTTTCTAGAATAACCAATATCAATTTTTTTGTGCTTGTTTGGTACAGATTTTAAATCAATTAAAATCTATTTTTTTGATCGTTATTTCATTATTCCAACCGTCATTTTTGAATTCTTCTCTCACGGATAAGACTTACTTTATCTCTAACGGTTAAAAAATCAATTATCAAAATTCGTACCAAACAAGCACTTTTATATTCTAGGTGCAAATGTTTTATTTTTAAGAGATCTAATTGATTGCTAAATACAAGGTCTAACATAGTACCGAATAAGACTTGATAATTGCATACATTAAAAAAAGTGCAAATAATGAGGTTCATGTTGAAGAACAGACGCTTGCATACATAAAACGTTTGGATTGTCGACGTTCGAAAAAATTGACTTAACTTTTGCATACGGTGTCCATTTTGGGTTCATAACTCCATTTCGGAAAGCTCATGACGATTCTGAATGAACTCACCGCTTTGCTATAATGTATGATGGATTTTGGCAGTTTGAATTCGTTTATTAAGTTAAAACAGCATTTAAAGTTTCTTGGTTTGTTATTTTCAGTATTTCTTATTTTCATTTTGTAGCCCAACCTATTAAGAGACTGCTAGCCCAGTAGATTATTTGTTCTTTTTGTATTTAATGATTGGAAAACACCTCCTAGGTTTTCTTTGATTGTTCGTGAAATAAGAAAAGTGTTGGTTTCATGAGTTCAATCCATTTGTGTTATTGTTATTGTGTGGTTGTAAATTCGATCTACATCAGAAAATATTACAATGCACTACACTTTTAATAAAAATTCATTTTTAACATTTTCACTTTTTTTTCACCAAATATACTCAATATATGTGGTATAAATGAAAATTGTAAAACATATTCAATTCCATATTTAATAATAGTAAAAGCTAAAATTATTCGAACAGACACGCCCCATAACTCACCCCCAAATGGATAATTTTATCAACATTACAGACGTGTTTGAAATAGGTAATTATATTATCACCACAAAATCTATTAAGTGCACCACAATTTTTAATTTTTTCCTTATTTATAGGAGTGGGCGCGGTCTGATTCGGTCCGATTCTAAAAGAAACCGAACCGAACCGAACCGAATACCAATGGAAATTTTAGAAATGGAACCATTGGTTCCATAGTTAGCTATGGAAATGAATCGGAACCAAACCAATCGGTTCCGATTCAGTTCGATCCGGTTCTTTACATTGAAAATATCAAAATAAAATGTTCACTAATAAAAACTCTAAAAATGCTACCAATATGATACTTTTAACAAAATATAGAAAAATCGAAAACACTATTCAAAGACTTATTTAGGTATAGATTTACAAAGTGAAAACAAAATAAAAATCATGTAATCAAAGTGAAAACAAAATAAAAATTTTGCATCTTATAAATGAAATTATATATTGTAAATAAATTTATTTAGGTATAGGTTTATCCAATATTCTAATTTGGCTTGAAAATCTATTAATCAAAGAATTATCAGAAAAGATAAGGAAAGAATCAAAGAGAAGAAGGAAAGTGCTGGAGTCTAAAATTAAGAAGGAATCCGATTATTTTTTATAAAAGTATTGGAGATTGAGTCATATATTTTACCTAAAAAGAAAAAAAAATCCAATGAGAACCATCTGATCCCCGCGGTTCCCATACTAGAAACGGGAATCGGACCGAAACCGATCGGTTCTTAAAAATTTGTCCAGAAATCAAATTGTTTTTTAAAAGATTCGAAACCAAACCGTCGATTCTAAACGGTTCTGGTCTGATTCCACCAGTTTTGGGAAAAAGTGCCCACTCCTAATTGCTTGCACGTAAACAAGGTTACTACTTATTTCAAATATCTCCCAGTTTTATCCTTGAAAGGATTTCCATTTTGAATTAGCTTTTTCAGAATGTTCTTTGACCTAATTTTTTACACGAAGTTTGGCGTAGCATCTTTTTTATACTCTATAAACTGAAATGAATATATTGTTCGACATAATAAGCGATGTTATATACATAGTCACAATTTGCATAATAACACATATTTGACTATATCATCAATTTTGTATTTTTATCATGGAGATATTCCTTTTTGTCATACGACATAGCATATATCCAATATAATACCCACCTTTAGTTAGAATTATTCCCTTGCTTTACATCGTTGTCTATAATTGGACAGTAAGGGGGAACACGTGTTCTTTTTGTTCTTATTATCATACAAAGAAAGCTTATATCGGTGCCTACAAAGAGAGCATTGTGCTAATTGGGGGTCGTGATAATTGGTTGATTCCAAAAGGTTAGTCAATGGGTGTGATATTTCCTCCAACATCCAAATGAGAACTAGGGAAATCTAAAAAGAAAATGATACACTCAAAGCGTGAATGCAGACAAGCAACGAGATATGTAAGGTGCAAAAAGTACATGCATAATGAAAGGATGTGTAAGCAACACTAATCATTGAATCATATACGAAAGGGGAAAAAAGGTTGTAAGTGTCACTTTTGAATTTTTTTTTGGCTTCATTGTTCGACATTGTGGTATTAAAATAGATGAATCAAAAATCGATACTATAATCAACATGCCAGAGCCAAAATAATGTACATAAGTTGAAGAATCTTTAAGGAAAGCTTGCATACATTCGAAGATTCATCTCCAACCTTGTTGGATATTGTCATCCATTTAACAGATTGATAAAGAAAAGTGTACCATTTGAGTGGGATGATACTTATTGAAATGTTTTTCAAATCATTAAACAATATTTGTCTTGTCTGCTAATTCTCGCAACTTCAACTCTAGGGAAGCCAGTTACTCTATGTCACAGTGCAAGAATATTTTCTAAAAGCACTTCTTATCGAAGTCAATGACGAGGCAAAAGAAAAATCACCTCATCACTTGAGCCGAACATTGGTAGTTCGAGAAATGAAGTATTCATCTACTGAAAAAAATATGTATTACATTGATCTTCGTGACTAAAAACTTGAGGTATATGCCATCACATATGATCAATCTTATTTCAAAAATTGACCCATTAAAGTATATAATGTCCAGGTCAATCCTTTCGAAAAGGATGAAAATGGACGATTCTATTAGCCGAGTTCGATATCAAATTCATTTTATAGAAGGTCAATAAAGGTCAAGCTCTGGTAGGTTTCCTAACTGATCGTCTGATTCCAGCAAAATGGAACTTCATGAAAACCTTCAGAATAAAGAAGTTCTATTTATTGAAATTATACCATCATCAAGACTATTCTTCGATGGGTTTGCTCAAAGTTACGGTGTCGGGCAGGGATAGTCTTTGTTACTCATGATTTGGTCATGCCTTATTCATTTTCCTTGACAAGGAAATGTTCAAATAAATTGGTAGAATATCAAGTCCTTATCCATCGTTTGGAGACAGCATTGGATATAGATGTCTATCTATCGGAAATCTTTGGAAATTCCAAATTAATAACCAACCAACTTTTAGTCGAGTACGAAGTCCGTAATTCAGACCTGAAGCTATATTACGAATATGCATTAACGCTTTTAAAATGTTTTGATTTGATAAAAATTAAATTCATTTCTTGAAGTGGAAATAGAAAGGTCGCATCTTAGCTAATTTGGTAGCTATTTTAGCTAGATTAGATGAAGGCTTTTCTCACTCCATATCAATCACTCAAAAAATGAGTGCTTCTGTATCGTTGTTTAATAATCTGGAAGAAAACAATAATGTTGAAGTCAACGATGCGGAAAAGGATGAGACAACCAACGATCGATTTTCTTCAATATCAGAAGTTATCAGATAGTCTATAACTAAAAATCAAAATCAAGAGACGTAATCTCGCTTTGTCTTTTTATAAGGATACATTTTATCAACAAACATTTAATGAAGTTTTCCTTCGATGCTTAACTAGTGAAGAAGTGGTGCATACAATAGAAGAAGCCCACTCTGGAGTATGTTGTGCTCATCTGTCTGAACCCAAACTCCATTTTTGGATAAAAAGAATGGGCTACTACAGGCCAATTATTTTGCAAGATTTCATAGATTATGCAATAAAATGTGAAGCTTGCCAATTCCATGCATATTTCATTCACCAACCTCCAGAACCATGACATTTAACGGTAGCTCTTGGCCATTTTATGCATGGGGCCTTGATGTAATTGGACTTATAATTCCAAAGTCATTAGTGAAACATTCATACATCTTCGATGGGACTAACTACTTCTCTATGTGGGCTGAAGATGTGACATTAAAAAAATGTAAAGAAAGAAAATATTGCAAATTTCATTTGTATTGAGATCATTTATCTATATGGGAAACCGTCGCTGATAATGAAAAACACTTCTACAAAGCCACATAAACAATTTATATGCAAAGTTTCTATTAGAACAATACAGTTTGTCCCTATACAATGCAACAGTTAATGGGTTGGCAGAGACATTCAACAAAGCTATATGCAGTTTGCTAAAATAATGTTGTTTTCAAATCGAAAAAAGATTTGCATGAAATAATTGGTGAAGTTTTATAGGCTTATTGCACTACTCATCAAACTCTAACACAAGCTACTTCTTTTATGGGGTGGAAGCGTACTTCCTTTAGATTGTCAAATTTTGTTGCATTGAATCGCCATCCAAGATGGTTTGACAACAAATAAAAATGTTCATCTTCGACTCAAAGAGATAGAAGCTTTGGATAAGAAGGGATTAGAAGCACAAATGCACCTAGGAAGTTATCAAGTTCAGTTGGTGAAATCTTTCAACAAAAAGGTGCTACCAAGATTATTTCAAACGAGAGATTTGATACTTTCGATACGTAAGCCAATCATAATGGCAAGAAAAATAGGGGATTAATTCCAACCTAAAGGAGATGGTCCAATTCTTCTTACTCGATGTTCATTAAGGAGCATATAAGATCGTCAATAGATACTGCAAATCGAACTTATTAATGGAAAATTCCTGAAGAGTTTTTACTCTTGAAGTTCTATATTTTGTAAAATTTTCATTGTAACAAAAAAATATAGCACCTAGCCAGCAAGAAAATAAATTGTGAATGGCCCTACAAACAAACAAAATAAGTATTCTTGTAAAACCACGTAGCAATAGAAACTTCGAACTCCACAATAGAATGAAATGAACCCCAAAAAGCTAAAATCAAAGTTTGAAACTTAACCCAATGATTTAATGAATCAAATAACCAAAGTTATTGATGAAACTTAACCTCGTGTTTACAAAAATCATGAACATTGCTATAATTGTTGAATGTCACAAAGAGTATGAATTTTTTATAAGTTCCAATTGAGTTTACTTAAGAACAAGTAGAAAGCAAATCTTGCTTTATTAAGTCTCTCAAAATGACGGTTAATTTACAATGAAAGAATAAAGCCATATATATAGGAAAATTGAAATACTACTAGATAACATCAAAATAATATATTTTGATTAAAATTGAAAAACTAGAATCCGGACCCAGTCGGAAAGCATTGCGACCACATGGCTATACTTGTTGTGGCCAAATGGAAGAGGTTTTTTGCTCTCGGGTTGAAAACCTTTGATGCTCGCAATCGTACTGAATTAAAGCCTTGTGGCCGCATGGCTTTGCTGAAAATCTCCTTATTCCTCTACCTGAATCAAATGCACCAAGGTTGTTTCTTCTTTTATGCCCAACATGAAACTTTGTGTATTGCTTATTGCACTTGAACTCTCCCAAAGTAACTAGGATAAGCCCTTGCATGATTGTTTTGACCCTCTTTATGCTTGATCTTGTAATTGGTCCATCTACAATATATAATAAATCCTTGCAATCTTATCTTCCATGATTCTCATCATTTCCTCTCTCTTCAAAATGATTCGATCTCTAACCTTTACCTGTAACAAAGAGAGAAAGATCAACAAAACATTGAAAATAGCAGATATGTTATACTTATATGGAAGATCCAATTGTAGGCATTATTATTAATCTTTTCAAGCACTTGAAAATGGTCCATCTGCTCTAAAATGCAATTTAGACCTCATTTGGACTGAAAAGCATTCTTTCTCATGTGCCTCCAAGCCCAATCACCTTATTTAAAGGTTACACGCATCCTTCCTTTATTAGCTTGAGATGCATAATGTTCGTCTTTCTTTTCAATTTGAAGCCGAACCTTCTTATGAATTGACCTTAGCAATTCAACCTTCTTCTTTCCATCTACACTACCTCTTTCATCAACATGTAGAGGAATTAATTTCAAAGGAGTTAGTAGATTGAAATGAAATGCAATTGCAAAAGACGAACAAGAAGTAATAGAATGCAAGGTCCTACTATAAGCAAACTCCATAAATGGCAAGCAATCCTCCCAACTTTTCGAATTCTTGTAAATTATAGCGCGTAACAGTTGAGTTAATGTTCTATTTACTACCTCAATTTGTCCATCTGCTTGTGGATGAGAAATAGTAGAAAACAATAGTTTGGTTCCCAACTTTCCCCACAAAAACTTCCATATCAGACCCAATACTTCTAGGTATCCCATGGGGTCGTACTATTTCTCTAAAGAACAAGCATAATCTATTTTACGACATGGAATGAAGTGTGTCATTTTACTAAACCTATCTGCTACCACAAATATGGAATCTCTACCCTGTTTAGTCCTAGGCTATCATAAAGTCCATAGACACATCAACCAAAGGTTTTCTAGGAAGGGGTAAGAGTGTATACAAACCCTGTGGTAAAATATAAGACTTAAAACTCAAGCATTTTAGCACTTAAAAAAGAAGTATATACTTCCTTGATAATGCATCAATAATTATGTTCCCTTTCTTGTTTATACCGATGACATAAGGAAAGGTCTCAATAAACTTCATCCAGCTCGCATGTCTCTTATTTAATTTATATTGGCCCTTTAGATATTTCAAAGAGATCGGTGTAGATCACAAACTCCTCTGACCATAGGTAGTGTTGCCATATCTCTAAAGCCCAAACAAGTGCATAAGGCTCTTTGTCATATGTAGGATAATTCAAAGTTGCCTTGCTTAGCTTTTCACTTAAATAAGCTATTGGTCGTCTATCCTGTATTAAACATCTCTAATTACTGAGGTATATCAAAAGTTTTGTTAAATTTAGGTAGTACTAAAACATGTGCAGAACATAGCCTATCTTAAAAATATTAAATGCATTCTCTTGCTCAATGCCCCCAACGGAATCTAACACTTTTTTTCACAATCTTAATGAGTGGTGTGGTAAGTGTACCGAAGTCTTAACAAAACGCTTATAAAAACTAACTAAATTATGGAAGTTTCTTACCTCATTTATACTTTTAGGTGTTGACCACTCCTTGATGACGTTGATTTTCTCTTCATCTATTTCAATCGCTTTTGTACTAACAATATAATTAAGAAAACGGTTTTTCCATGCAAAACGTACACTTTTTAAAGTTAGTATAAAATTGTTCCTACTTCAAGATAACAAGCACGCATCTCAAATGCTCAATTTGCTCATCTGAATTCTTACTAGACACTAGGATGTCATCAAAGCAAACTACACCGAATTTACCTATGAATGCATGCAAATATGGTTCATTAATTTTATGAAAGTGCTAAGTGTTTTAGTAAGTCCAAATGACATAACTAATCACGCATAAAATCTATATTAGTCTTAATAGTCATTTTTCATTCATCTCATTTTTTCATCCTAATTTGGTAATATCCAATCTTAATATCTGTTTTACTGAAGATACTTCTAGTTTGTTGCTTGTTTTAACTTTGTCATGATGTGTTTACCATTTATAAATGATCTAAAAATCGGGTTAGGGTTAAAAGGAGTGGTTTGAAATTTTTTGATGAACATGAAGTTTCTGTTTTATTTTGATGATCTCTAATTTCACGATATAGACAAAATAATAGTTAGTAAATTGAAGATTTAGTTCATAGTCGGGTTTTGGGTGAATATCGTTAAAGGAGTGATCAATTTCGCAACATATTTAACTTTAGTGATTAAAAAGTGTATAAAACTACTTCAATGACCAATTTGAAATTGCATTTGAACTTCAATGACCATCTGTGAAATTAACTCATTGACGTATGCATTTTCCGTCTTGGATAAACTTCCAGTTCCAAGATTCAGAACCAAATCAATCCTCTCTCTCTCTCTCTCTCTCTCTCTCTAATAGTAGGTAAATCAATAAGAATGGACGCATTGGATTCAGTTTTCGATCCATTGAGAGAATTCTCAAAGGACAGCATTCGTCTCGTCAAGAGATGCCACAAGCCCGATCGCAAAGGTATATTTCGGAAAATCTAGGGTTTCCAGTTCCAGTTATTTTCATAAATCAACGACCTATATTTTTCTAGATTACTGATTTATGATCCGATCTAATAATTTCGTTGAGGATTTATTTATTTTTTATTTGTTATGTGCAGAATTCACCAAGGTGGCGACTCGTACTGCGATAGGTTTCGTGGTGATGGGATTCGTAGGTTTCTTTGTCAAACTGATATTCATCCCTATTAACAACATCATCGTCGGATCTGGTTAAACTCCTAGAGGTACATTCAATTGTTCGTTTAATACAATCATTTCCTTGGAAGAAAAATGTAAAATAATATGCGAAATTAATTTCTCTGGCTTAGATTGACTGCTATGCGAAATCGGATTAGATTTAATGTCCTTGTTGCCAACTTATTTTGCTCTCACGCTGCTATCATATATGCAATCTTGTTTATGATAGTTGAATCATGATACGTATGGAGAATTACTCGTAGTCGTAGTTATAGCTAAGTTATCGAGGTTGGGATGTTGTGTTGGTCATCTGACTGTGGTATTGTTAGAAATTCAATGGGGTAATTTGATGTTTACATATTTTATGCAATTGTGAAGCGTCAGAGATATCTGTGTTTTGGTTATCATTTTATCTATGACCAAATGCTTCTAAAACTCTGTGATTTGAGATCATACGGATGAACTTATATCTTAACCAACTCTAGCCCTCTGCACAACCCTTGTTCTGGTGATTTAAGCAGATACAATTTCGAGCCCGTTTGTCTCCCATTATGGGAGAAATTAAAGAGTTTTGAATAGTATTTTTTGGAGAATATGTGGTTAAAATTTAAAGAAATTTTATTGATTTGTGCGTAGAATATTTTGTTGTGTGAATATGTGGTGGAGTGTTACTATAGCAAACAATTTTAAAGCCCTCTGCTCAACCCTTGAACTAGTGATTTAAAGCAGATGTATGTATGAAGTCATAACTTAACCAAATAGGGGCTTCAGATGTATGTATGAAGTCATATCTTAACCAACACCAGCCCTCTGCTCAACCCTTGAACTAGTGATTTAAAGCAGAGACAATCTTACTATTCATTTAATGTTTTTTCATGATTTTCTTGTATAATAATCAATAAACTGAATTCATTTCTTCTCTGACTCATTAATAACTCTATTCATGTCATTCAATGTAGCCTCCGCTTCTTTTACTTATTTATGTTTTTGGGGGGAGGACGGTTCTGGTTCCTAATGAGTCTTTCGATAACTACCTTATATAGACTTTAGAAGTTTGCTTTTCGTTGGTTTGGTTTTGGGAGGGGGGCGGCTTTGGTTACAAATATGAAATAAGTATCAGAACAGGGTAGCTGTTAGAGGCATAGACCTCAATTTTCTTATGTGCTTCTTGCCTCAGTTGATACACCTTTCTACTTGACTATGTAATATTGAGTTGAAATGTATCTGTGAGCTAGTTTGAGTACATGAATTTTCACCTTTTTAGTATATCTTAAAAACTGACCAATTTTATTCAAATTGCAGGTGAGGTAGAATTCTGAAGCAACTAATTACCATGCAAAGAAAGTCCTGGAAAATATAGAGTAGAAAAAATTGTGCTCTATCGGAACCCCAAAATGAAAATCACATGAATTCCTTTTGGTTTCATTACCGTATCATGTTGAACATGTATTTTCAAATTATTCTGCATCAGTTGATTTTTGACAAACTTCAATTGCTGAGATTGATTATTTGTACAAGTATGGCGGCATTCGTTATCCTGTTATTAGTCCCAGGCATCTTTCTCTGTGGCACGAAGTGTGTTCCTCAATCATAATATCATGTATGGGACATGAATTCTTGTCTCATGACAATCCTTGCTGCTAGAGGATATGAAAATGTGTTCTATACATAGGTTTTCCCGGCCAGTTGGGCATGATTAGATATGTTGCTTGATAAAGCTATATTCGCATTAGGGAAGACAAATTGTTATTTGAACAAAATTAAGAATGAATTGCTTACAAAATAACTAGTAGTGAATACAATGGAGACTGCAAATTTTAGTAAATGCAATATCATTCAGCCTCAGCAAGCTGGATTTTCATCAGTAGGTTCAGCAGCTGAAGCAAGTACAAGTTGCGGCTGAGCGGACACACCTTCTCTTCGTGCTCGTCTACGTTCACGTTGTAATCTGAATGACTCTCTCTTTCTTGCTCTGTAACTGTTGGGATTTTCGGGCTGCAATACACGTGGATAAACACTCACCTGCAAATTATTAACCAATTTTTATATGGTTGCAAGAAGCAAATAGAGAGACGAGTTTGTGTATATTGTAATAAACCTTTTTCTTATCAGGCCCAAACTTCTCAAATTTGACAAGGCCATCTATCAAAGAGAAAAGGGTATGATCCTTGCCAAGACCCACATTCTTCCCTGGATGAAACTGCAAATATGGAGGAGAGAAGAACATAGAGAAGATAATAGAAATAATTGTTGGATGAGGCCCGAAGAGATACCCAACAACTAAAAGAGAAATGGTAAACAAGCCAAAAATTAATGAA